TGGTTTGGGAAAGACCAGGTGCCCTTTCAGACTAACCAATCAAATTCCCAATCTTTTAGGGGCTTCTGCTGCTTCCCCTCCCTAACCAATCCATTTCCTAGGTCTTTGGGAGCTTGGGGGGTGAGGAGGGTGCTGTATCCCTTATCCAACCCCATCCTTTTCCAGGCTGGATGACAGGCCTCTGTGGTTGCCATCCTGGCTCCTACTGTGCATGCCTATGGTAGCAGCACCCCCCTACCCCCTTTTGCCATCTTGTGCCCAGTAGAGCAATTTCCCCTTTATTGTTCTATCCCTCCCCCCAGTAATCTGCAGGGGACTGACCAGTGGTTCTGTGGGGAGCGTGTGAAGCTATAGCTTCGTAGTGAAGAAGGTCCAATATTGGATTCAGCTTCCCGTTTATTAGGCTTTATAATGTCTGATTCCCTTTGTTCCCTTCCTTTATTAATACCTAGCAACCTATGCTAACCTATTGACATAAAGGAGTAAGGGAATTCCTTGTGATGTATAATTAGATTTTTTAAAAAGGAGTAAAGTGTGAGAACTAAGGAGAGTAAGTAAGAAGAAGGAGATTAGGGAGAAACACATGGAAGTATGGAATGGAATATACACTGAGTTTTCATTACCGTCAAATTTATTTGCAAATTCTTCTGTAAGTTGTAAAATAGCCTATGTTTAAGGCTTACTGACAAACATTTGATTTGTAGTTTTGGTCAAACTAATTCTGTATCTCTTTTTCTTTGCTTTTTTCTTTATTCTATTTTATTTTTAAGAAAAGCACTGCCTGGCACGGGCCGGTGTTCTTAAGTGGTTAGAGTGTTGTCCCTTGCACTGAAGGGTCACGGGTTCGATTTCCTGTCAAGGGTATGTTACTGGTTTGTAGGTTGATCCCTGGCCCTGGTTGGGAGGCAACCAGTCAATGTATCTCGCTCACACTGATGTTTCTATCTTTCTCTCTCCTCCTCCCTCCCTTCTTCCCTCCCTTCCACTCTCTCTAAAAATCAATGGAAAAGATATCCTTGGGTGAGGATTAACAAAAACAGAAACAAAGCACTAGTTGACTTGCTGGCTTTCTGTCCTGCTGTTGACACAGCTTCAGCCCTGCAGCTTCTCCTTGTGACTTTGCACTTCAGTGGCACCATTTCCTGTCGGAAACCAAAGGCAGGCCCCTGCCATGTCTACATGTCAGTTCACACAGGAAAGAACCTGTAAAGTTTCAGAGCCACATGACTTCCTTGTGGGATGGGCTGATGAACTTGTGCACACATGGGTCCCTTCCTTTTTTACCTTTTGACCTCTGATGGGACTGAGATTAGAGTGGTTAGAAAAGTTAAAAATGGATATAACTATATATCAATTGATATAACCATATATCAAAATTGATATAACTAGGCGCAAATTGCAGAAGATTAGAATTGATGTTCAGATTCAACTGGCTTGAAATCAAGGTGAAGACTATTGTTATTCGATTCCAAGTCAGAGGATTTGTTTTTTGTTGTAGTAAAATATACATAACATATAACTGACTATTTTAACCATTTTTACATATTTATTTGAAAAAGTTGTATGTTTTCACACTGTGCAAAGTTTTTCTAAATGATGGAAATTCAAAGATGACTAGGACTGATTCTTGTCTTCAAACAGCAAAAGCAGAGTTAAATCTTTATATAACTATCTAACATAACTGTATCTAACTTTGAAATAAGTGCATGAATATGTAAGCTACAAAGATGAACACCATTCCTTATTTTATAAATAGAAGAACTGTAAATATCACTTCACTTTAATTTTTAATCGGATAAAATATACATGACACAAAATTGACCTTTTAGCCATTTTTAAGTGTACAATTTAAGGTGGGTTTTAGTCACTATATAATTTAAACAAGGATAAAGTATATAAAGTTATATTAGAGAAGGATGAAGCTAAAAAAGAAATTGATTTGCTAATCTTTCACTTTAAAAAAAAATATTTTTATTGATTTCAGAGAGGAAGGGAGAAGGAAAGAGAGATAGAAATATCAGTGATGAGAGAGAACCATTGATCGGCTGCCTCCAGCACTCTCCACACGGGATTGAGCCCACAACCCGGCATGTGCCCTTGACTGGAATTGAACCCGGGCCCACAGGCCAACTCTTTATCTACTGAGCCAAACTGGCTAAAGCTAATATTTTCACTTTTAAAAAAATTAAGTAACTGATTTTCTTTATCCTACCTTTCTGTTTTTTTCTTACACATGTATTTTGGGAGTTGAACTGTTGCCAGATTCTTTTAAACCTGTTTTTCCTCTAATATAGCGATCTTTTTATTTTCTCAAGGTCTTAAAGTAAAGGTAATTTTTTCATGGGTTGTATTTGCAATCTATGTGCAATCATTTATAATAATTTTATAAAAATTAAAATATGAAATTGACAATTGTGGATACATTTCAGTTGGCATGAATTATGATTCTCAATAAAGTCAAGTTTTGAGTAAGGGTGACCCAAATTCAGCTGCATTATTGGAAAAATCTTAGCAAATCTAAATTATTTAAAGAAGTAATGTTTGCATTTTTTCTAATAATATTTCTTTCTATCAGAGGAACTCTAATGCAGTGATTATATATGACAATAACAAAATTAGGTGCCTGATATATATCTACTCGGTCTCCTCACTTAGCTATACCTGCAGTCATTTGGTTACTCATCAGATGAATCTAATACATTTCATTTTGCTTTATTGATTGATGATATAATCTACATTATTTTGTATTTATGATAATGATTATTTGTTTATAAAAAGGCAGAGCATATTCTTGGTATCTGAGTCCCTTGTGTATCTTTCATGCTCAGTATATGTTAGTAAATTATTACCATGGGCTAAGTAAGCCTGTGGCAATGAAGTACCAGAATGTTTGCATCTATTTAGACTACTCATGGATTGTTTAAACTATGAAAATAAAAACACAAATGTCCAAAATGTATAACTTACTAATGTTCATAACCAATTACCAGCACAATTATAAACCTTGAAAATCACTTCTGAAGACACAGCAGTAAATGGGGCATCAGATATATTTGGACACTTCATCTGAGTGGATTAGCAACCAAGATTTCTTTAATTGGAAAACAGAAGTAGCTGGGAAGGAATGGCATTCTCATAAAGGCACTTCCTTTTGCCACCTTTGATTTTTTTTTTTTAGAAGTATGGTTTAATCTTATTCTAGTTATTAAACTGCTTTAAGCTTCTTTCCAAGTATAGCAGCCAAATTGAAGGATTTATTTCCTCAACTATACTTTAAAACACTGCTGTCAAACAGAGTAAGCAAGGCAAGCAGTAGAGATATGGCCCCCTTGTGTTTTCAGTTTCTTTACATTTATCATGACTTCTAAGTTATTTTAAATTCCCAAAGGAGTTTGCTTGTTTTAAACTCCATTATACATACATTGTTACCGGAAAGGGTTTGTAAGAGATAAAATTAAATGTCAGTCTAGTAAATAGAAGAGATTATTTCTTCTCTGAACTGTGTTATGCAGGGAGATTTCTTCTGCCTTATTTATGTTTATATTTTAGTGTAGTTAGGAATACAGTCAGTTCTTAAAATTTGAAAAGTATCAGAGAGCAAGTGGGTGCTGTAGAGTCTCACATATTTGATGTTGACTGAAGCCAAAATATTTTTTTAAATTTTTATTTATTGATTTGAGAGAGGGGGCGGGGAGAAAGAGAAACACGGATTTGTTGTTCCACTTATTATGCACATACTGTTTGCTTCTTGTATGTGCCCTGACCAGAGATTGAACCCACAACCTTGGCATATTGGTATGAGGCTCTCACTATCTTAGCTACCTGGCCAGGGCTGAAGCCAAAACAATTTAATGGATAAAAATTTATTTGAGTACTTGGAATTTCTCCTAAATTTTGATGTTTTAGAAAGTTTTTATATTTTTTCCTTCATGCATTTTCATTCATAAAAACAAAATTTGGCTACAGTAAATGATTCTACCTATCTCCCTTAAAATGGTGTTTAAATGAACAATGCTAACTTACTAGTATTTATAGAATACTTAAGGCTATAGAAGATGAAATATATCAGGCGACCAACTAATATGTACCTATGGAATTATGGCTTTGATCAAAAAGTTTTTGCATTACATGTGTCTGTTATGTGTTCTCTCTCTTTTTTTACTTAGCTGTGGTTAATGATGCCACTATCATTATTGGGCTTTTAGAATATCCCAAAGAAGTTTTCGAGCATGACAAAGTGATTCGTATACTCTTTTATTTGGTTACTAGTGGCCCAGTGCGTGAAATTCGTGCATTGGGGGGAGGGTGTCCCTCAGCCCGGCCTGCACCCTCTCCAATCTGGGACCCCTTGGGGGATGTCCGACTGCCGGACATCCCTCTCGCAATCCGGGACTGCTGGCTCGTAACCGCTCACCTGCCTGCCTGCCTGATCGCCCCAACTGCCCACGCCCCCCCGCCCCCCGCCGGCCTGATTGCCCCCAACTACTCCCCCTGCTGGCCTGATCACCCCAAACTGCCCCCCCCCCCCCGCCGGCCTGACCACCCCCAACTGACCCCTGCTGGCCTGCTCGCCCCCAACTGCCCCCCCCCGCCGGCCTGCTCACCCCCAACTGCCCCCCCCTGCTGGCCTGATTGCCCACAACTTCCCCCTCCTGCCGGCCTAATCACCCCCAACTGCCCCCCTGCCAGCTTTTTCACCCCCACCTGTCCCCTGACAGCCTACTTGCCCCCAACTGCCCCCCCCGCCAGCCTGCTCGCCCCCAACTGCCCCCCCCCCAACCTGATTGCGCCTAATAGACTCTGCCTCAGCCCCACCATCATGGCTTTGTCCGAAAGGATGTCCTGAAGGTCTCCTGGAAGGTCTTCCAGTATAATTAGCATATTTCTCTTTTATTAGTATAGATTGGGAAAAGAAATTCTGTGCTCACTATAGCTTGTGAGGTGAATTAAATATATAAACCATTTGATGAAAACACAGCTAAGTGTGCTCAATCATGGAGCATTTATTATTCTGCTGAATATGTCAGGTTGGAATTCAGAAAGTATTCTCCCAGAAATATGATTTCCCTGAAGTATGCGCTCATTAAAGGTGGTTAATTCTACAGAGCACGTTTCCTCTATAATGTCCCCACCTCCACATTAGATTATGTTTCTACTGTTATAACCCTACATATGACCATGTGTCTATTGGGAATTTCTTGAGTTTTCATATGAACTTTTAGGGCTATTGCTCTAACTCTGACAGTAGATACATGGATCTGAAAGCTGTAATACATAGGCAGCTTGCTAAATTCAAAGACTGGAAGTTGGAGTAGAGGTTCTATTGCACTGGTGTTGACAAACTGTTAGGGCTTGTAATCTCTTTCCAGGTTATCTTTTAGGGACACCCTTAACTCGAGTTCTATTTTTACGTATTCCTTCATTGTCTTTGAGGTCCCTAGAAACTGGGCTGTTCTACTACTTGTTCGCAATCAACACCTGATGCTTCTGACCTCCTGCAGTACTGGGATGAATGGTGTCCCCCTAAAATTCATCTGCTTCTAGGAAGCTCAGAATGTGACCTTATTTAGAAATAGGCTGTTGCAGATGTAATTGGTTAAGATGAGGTCATCCTGGGATAGGATGGGCCCTAAATCCAGTATGACTTTGTCCTTTTAAGAGAAGAGTTACAGTGACACAGACACACAGGGAGGTTGCCATATAATGATGGAGGGGAAGATTGAAGTGATGTGTCTTCAAGCCAAGGATTGCTGGCAACACAAGAAACTAAGAAGATAGCATGGAACACATTCTCCCTGCAGCCTTTAGAGAGAGTGGCTCTACCAACACTTAATTTTGGACTTCTTTGAATTGTGAGAGAGTAAGTATCAGTTGTCATAAGTTGTTGGTACTTTGTTATACCAGCCCTAGCAAACTCATACACATGCCAGTAAACAGAAGAGTCCTGAATTGCTCTTCTGCAAGGTTCCTCCAGGGTTAAAGCTACTGGAAATAGTATGAAAGTGGAATATATAAGTAGGGATAGTTGTAATAAAGAATTTCAAAAACAAAACTGTGGAACTGTGGTTGAAGAGCACTAGTTTTCAACCATAAGCCTCAGTTTAGTAACTTGTGGTAAAGTGTTTCCATTCCCGAACCCTATTCCCAGAGATACTAATTTTGTTGGTGTAGGTTGGGACCTGGGCATCCATATGTTTAAAAGTTCCAAAAGGAGTCTGGGAATACTACGAAGTTAGGGTTGAGAATCACTAGTATAAGATAAGGAGCAAGAACCATGGGGTACAGAGCAGTGGTTCTCAGCCCTGGCTGCACATTGTAATCACTGGGGTGACATAAGCACCTGCTGGTGCCTGGGAGTCATTCTTAGAGATTTTCTTGCCATTGGTCAGGGATTCTCATGGCTCAGAGGGAGTTTTAAAAGTTCCTGGAGAATTCTAATGTGCAGCCAGAGTTGGGAAATATTAGTCTCAAGGTGTTTATGTTCTAGTGAATAGCTGGGATGTTTCAAATATTCAACTTTTAGAGAGGTTTTTTGTTTTGTTTTGGATATGTAATAGATTTAGATTAATTGTAGGTTCAGCAAGACAAAAACAAATTCATTATCTGATTCTTCCTTTTTCACACTATATGGCTTTCCCGGATATCTTCGAAGAAGGAGGCCAATAAGTTATGTGCATGTTGCGGGGATTGGAGTGGTGAGTGGTCATCGGTGGCTGTTTTTGGGTCGGAGTGTGGGTTGGCGGTTTTTTTAGATTTACCCCTCACTCTTTTTCTCTGTACCATTGCCTTTCCTACTGTTGGAAGATGAGAATGAAAGTGTCAAGTTGAAAAAGTATAGACGGTGAACACGTGTACAGTGAAAAGGAACAGAGCAGGAAAAATGCCATCTAGCAGAACCAGGGAGGCAAAGAGGTGCTGTGGTGACTGCCAGCTATTGAAGTGTGAGTGTGAAGAATGTCCATTGAGTCTGTAGAGAGGGAACTTCCTAAGTGTGTGGGTGGAAACACATACAGTTATTTAGCTAGCCAGGGCACACTTTTCCTATGCACATAGAAACAGGTACAAGTAGTAAATTATATTCTTTTTCTGAGATGCTTTTTTCAGTGAATGTCACCATTGTATTATGGGATGGTTTCATTCCTCCCCATCTTGCGATGCACTGTTTTCTGTGTAGACTTGACATTTGGGTTGTGCCTGAAGTACTTGTTGACTGGGAGGGAGGTTGCTTTTAATACACTGATGTTCCTAGTGTATTATTTCTAGTTTTCCATTTTTGCCATTTCTTAGTGACAGTATATTTAAATATAGTGACAGTATATTTAAAATATCTATGAAGGCATAAAAACATCAGCTTTAATGCAGGTTTGTTTCACTCAGTGAGTTTGGAATGAATGCCACGATAATTGACTTTTCATTTTGTGCTGGTTTAACTAACAAGTTTGTATGCTTGCTAGCTTCCTGTTGACCATAACTACCTTTTTGTTTGTTGCTTTTGTTTCTAAACTCCACTACTCATCTGGCCGCTACAGTTCAGCTCCTTGAAGCCTGTGATCTAGCTAGTGCTACCTCTAAGGAGTCCTCATTATTGGTGAAACTCATTGAGGTTGGTTTCTGCTATGTATGCTTGATAGCTAATTCTTGAGAGTAATAATAGTCTTAGCTATCTGAACTTCTTGTATGTCTACTAAGCACTCTTGCATTATTGTATTTAATTTTCATATATCTTTTGAGGTAGTTGGTAGCACTTCTGTTTTATTGGTTGGAGACTGACACCGAGAATTGTAATTTAGACATAACCAGTGGTATACTGGTTAACTATCTTCTGAATAAAAAGCCCTGATTTTTTGCATTTACTGATTTCTTTGATATAAATACTCTGACTCTGGTGAATTTCAAACTACAAAAGTGTAGTTATGGGGTTGTGTAGAGATGAACACTGTCAGCTTGAACATGGTTGTACTAGTCAGCTCCAACCCCACTCTGGATTTATACCAAAGCTAGTGTTTCTATTGTATTATCTTCCATCCCTCCCTCCTTCTTTTCTTTTTTCCTTCCTGCCTGCCTTCCTTCTCTCCCTTCCTCCCTTTTGCTTCTTTCTCCATCTCTGCTCACCACAGGCATTCATTAAACAATTTCCTGTATTACTGTCCCAAGAACATCATGTTCTGTTTGTAACCTCTTCTATTGACAGTTTTTTATAGACATGGAATTATCATCACCTGTCAACTTCCACAACCCTTATTGCCTTAAACTGAAGTTTTAAATAGAATAGGATTTATTATATTGTCATCTCTTTTATATTCTTGATAAGAAGACTATGAGTATACTTCAAGTTAAATGCCTGATTAATCAAATGTGAGTAGCAATTTTATGAACATATTGGTAACAAAATAAACTGATTTTACTCATAACCCCAACTGTTCTTTTTAAAGATATTTTAATTGATTTCAGAGACTGGATGGGAGAGGAAGAGAGAGAAAGAAACATCAATGATGAGAGAGAATCATGGATGGGCTGCCTCCTGTATGCCCCCTACTGGGGATTGAGCCCATAGCCAGGGCATGTGCCCTGACTGGGTATTGAACTGTGACTTGGTTCATGGGTTGATGCTCAACCACTGAGTCACACCAGCCTGGCCAACTGTTCTTTTTGAGTTTAATTCAAAATGCTTTTTTGTTGTTTCATGCTTCCGTTTTCTCTGCATACGCTGTAGCCGAAACTACCTTTCTCGAGATAGGATTTCCTCGACACAGCTATGCAGTAGCAGAGTTGGAAGGGTGTTGGATCTTGATGGTAATGAAAAACCATGGGATTTGTTTGTCATCTTTCATCACAGTTGCAAAGGAAGTAACAGGCTTTAAAATCTCTTTTCCATTCCATATTTTGATGGAAGAGTCTAAACACTTATCTCTTCTCCCTTCTCTATTTCTACCTGATTATAAATCTCAGAAAACATGTGTCTTAAGAGTTTTCATTTATCCTGTTTCTGGCTATGACACTGACGTCCATAAAAATTGGAGAGCATTCTAAATCATTGCATTTTGTCAAGTGTCCTACCCATGCTAAGACCTGAGGGTGATGCATTTGGCAACTAAGTGCTGTTGCCATCTTGGCAGGATTGGCCCTGTGGTGATTAGAGGGCCCTTCTTTCTTCAGCACAGTGGTGATAGGCTGGCTGGGAGTAGGAAGAACCTGAATCCATCACTGGCATGGACTGCTTGCTTTTTCTGCGTTTCTTTGAATTTTTAGAGGCTGCTTTAGTCGATGAGTACTGTGCAATTAAAAATATATTAAATAAAATTTCTGAAATTGCTTCTTGAGCTGTGTATGTCCCTGACTAGATATTTTAGCAAACATAAACTTGAGGCTTTTAGTCTCCTTTGCAACCAAACTCCGTGTAAGAATGACCTTGTTTTAAGGGCAGGCTGTATTTTTTTCTTTGTAGCATGTCAAACCCTTTAAGACATGGCCACAGGCCCTGGGATTTCCCACTCAACAGAATGTCATTTTATGTTTGATCCCCAAAGAGTATGGAATTGTGGAGATTTTATGACTGCCTGACACTTACAATTAGCATGCAGGCCTTGGCATTGAGTGATGAGAACAGATGGGTACAGGGACCATTGACGGAGTGTATGTCACTATTACAGAGGAAGCTGAAAGAAAACACCAGAGGGTTTCAGTGTGGTTTGTTGTCTAGACAATTTTATTTTGTGTCTATTGAGGAAATATGTAAAGAAGTAGATGAGTAGATTCTATCTTCTTAAATTATTAAAATTGGAAGCGTTTTCCACAAGAAAAATAAATTTCCCAGAAAAGAGAAATTTTATTTCTCGGTCTAATTACAAGAGCTGCAAAGTTATATTGATCTGTTTCCTACTTTTATTTAAACATATAGATAGATCTTTGATTACACAGGATTTGTGAGTTAAAAAGACCTATTATGAATAAGCTGTTTAGTAGAGAAATCTAATTTTCAACATGAACAACATAAACGGAAACTGCTTTCTCTCTGTGATAGTTCTATTATAATTGTACTGATTTATGATGAATATATTTGTTATCCAGCAAGAGTTACAATGAAATAGAATTAAATTCACTTACTTTATAGCCATCATATGGAGAGATAATAGAATGTGGATAAAAATATAGCCACTTTTTGTAATTTCTACTAGGCGAATAAAGCATGCCTAGTAGACATGGGTTGTTTTCATCAGTAAAAAATAAAAACATGATGTGCTTTTTAAAGTACTAGTGAATCATCGATGACAAGACTAGGATGTTCCTAAATATTTGAATGTTATGGAGTCAAATATGATTTCCAGTGAAACAGAAATGAGATAGATGTCTGGCAAAAACTACATCTGTGAACGTTTTGAACAGTGGCTCATTCCCAAAGGTGATTTTGCCTTGTTGAAATTATTTGTGTGGATTTGTTTGTTTGTTTGTTTGTATCTTTTCAACAATAGTGAGCTCCCCTTAGGGCATTTCTGCATCTTAAGTCACTTTTGCAGGAGATAGTTAGCCATGTATTATGTATAAGGAAGCAGAATAACTGGAGAGAGGGGCTGGAAAGGTAGGGAGATCCTGAAAATTTTCTAGTGAGCAAGGGTTTGGAGATGAACAATTCATTGTGTAACAACATTATTACTAATTTAAAATTGGTAAACTTCCCTTGAAGTTTCTCTTATTGAGGATGTTGGCTTTATGCTTTAAAAAAAAAAAAAGTAAAAGGTAATTATTATATGAACTTTTAAAGGTTTTCTCATTGCTTTGGTTGTTCCAACCCTAATTTCTCACATTCTCCTATGACATGTTCTGGAAGGTAGCACAGGGTGGCAGGCACCTGTGAGAAATCCAGGGCCTCTGTACCCTCCCGGTCCACAGCCGTCAGCAGTGTCCCTGGGTGACAGCTCTGGAACTGCCTGCTCCGATGCTTTCTTGTCTTTGCTTCTCCTCTGCGGATGGGCAGTCTTTGCTATGCCCAGGCCCCTGCTGTTCCACGTCTTTCACTGTTCTTTAGCCAATTACTTCCAAAATTTGTTTGAGATATATGTGTAAGTATAGACATAAATATGGGTGTGTTTATCATTGCCAGCTCTTTAGACATTTGCTAGCTTATCTCAGGAAAAACCCTTTCCTTCTTTATCTTCTATTTATAAGAAAAAGATAATAAGCCCATTTCTGCTAGTGCATCACTTTTTATGTCAATGTTAAACCTCTGTGTATAAAATCTATATTTAGCAGATAGGCTAAAAAAGAATTTCCTAATAAAGGGAAGAGTTAGAAATAAAATCAAGATGAGATCTAAAGTATAATCAAATGATTGTGCAGTTCAGGGGATTTCAGACTTCCTGGAGTTGTATGAATCATCTGTGTCGACTTTTTTTTTTAGGTTAGGAATATTTATTTATGCACTTATTTTTAGTTCACCTTCTCACCCAAGTACAGTTCACATGCGAAACAAGCACATTTTATACGTGTACAAATAGATGAACTCCCACAAAATGAACATATACACTCACTGACAACCCTGATTAAGTCAAAAAACATTACCAGCAACCACTGACCAAAGAGTCAACTGCTATTTCGGCCCCATCACTGTTGATGATATCTGTCCCTGAACACCACAGCAGTCAGCAGGCACTTCTGCCTGGCTTTTGTCCTTAACATTATGTTTTCAAGATTCATCCAT